AATAAAATGGAGTAGAGTCTGAATTTATTTCAAAATAAGATTATATTTTTCCCACTGAAAAATTACTTCTATTTTAGTTTAGATTTCATGCATAAGTAACAAAAAGGCTAACCCCTGTATTTTATCTAAATTAATCTTCTTTTTACATATCTACAACAATTTAACGTAATGTATACAAAGAATTATGTAATATAAACACAAAAATATGCACAACAGAATATGGCTTCAAGACTGTCAGTTAGGGCTAATCCACTCTACAAGTGAATCTAGAGTTTTTGAAATTCAGTAAACATTTTCACTCAAGTATTTGTTTTATCTTTTCACTAAATGTCAGTGTACCTTCACAGGAGGCCTGGTTCCTTCCTCTACCCTCAGTTCTCTGAGTTCCTTAGCCAGAGCACTTAAGTCCTTTAGCACGGGGAAAAGCAGAGACAGACGAAGCCTTTTAGTGCATTGTTTGTTTCTCATTAATCAAAGCCTAGAGAAAGAGGATAATTCACATAAAAGGGTAAAGGATTCAGTACCATGATATGAGGACAATTAATGTGACGAAGCCCATACACAGCTAGGGCTGAAAACGTGTGAACAAGAGTGCTGATTTGACTGATTCTAGTTTAGATGACCAATTTCACAACAACTTTTATAAAGATATCAATCAGCACTTTTATTCGCTCACATGTAAATATTGACAAAAGCCATAATAATAAGAAAAAAACAGCAGTTTCAAGGCTGATATCCAACAAAAGGGCTGCATCTCTCGGATTCTCTCTACCCCCCATCCACATGCCAACACCCCCCAAGCAAACCGGACCAAATCATGCAAACGGAGATGAGGAGGACCATCACACACAGTGGGCTTACCAGCTCCTCCTGACAAGTTACCACGACAACAAAGAAACAGGAAAAAAATAAAATCAAATTTAGAGGATTTTCAGGGGCTTGGTTGCTTATCTTTTGCTCACGTTTCTCCCTTACACACATCAACATAAACCATGCAGGTTTGCAAATAGCTCAAGGATTCATCCACATACTCTCTCCTGGTATGTGTGTCAGCGCACACATGCACCAGCATTGCCAAAGCACCCCGGATTTTAAGAGTTGGAGGGAGAACAGTTGACTTCTTTTAAGACCAACTAACTTCACCATGCTAGGATAAGAAGAGGAGCTTTTATTGAGGCTAAGGATAAAACAGGAAAAAAAAGAAGAGATGGGGGCATGGTCATCACTAACCTCATCTATGGCTTTCTTATAACTCTGAAGAATGGGAGGAAATACAGGAGCAGAGACAGAAAGATAGAGCAGGTGAATAGTAGAAAAAAAGAGGAGGAGAAGAGAAAAAGCATCCCAGAGAAGAGCTAGAGTTGCTGTGTCCATCTGCGCTCCAGGACTTACTGCAGGTCTGCTGGGTCTGGCTGATTCACGACCATCATCCTGTTTGGGTTTAACCTCCTCGTTGGCAGTAGGTGGAGTTCCAACTGCCTGGGTCTGGCCTATGAAACAAAAAAAATGCTGAGCCTTAAAAAATGGTTTACATTAAAGGAGGTTTTTCAGAAAAAAATTACAACAGGAAGAAATAATCAGGGGAAAAAACAAAGAAACATTGCATGGTTAGCTGCATGGTTAGCGAGAAACAGAAAAGGATCACTTTTGAGTTTCTGCATATAGCAGCTTTCTTCACACCTATATTCCCAAAAAAATTATGTTTGTGAAATATACTAATAGACGTCCTGTTGATATTTTTTTCTTCTGGTAACCTTGAGCTTCCTGGATGCTTCTCTTATTGCCCTGCTAATTATTTTAGGGGTTTACAAGGTTTCCAACCCAGTGATCTATTTCTGTCACTGGGCTTGCTAAACAAAACTTGATGCACCAAAAATGTCCAACTATTGTAGAAGTTATATGTATATATTAATAGTATAATGGTAGACAAAAAAAAAGTTTGGTACATATTTGGCACACTTTAATCAAAAGGAAAAAAAAAAACTATATATGACATTTTAAAGCTTCAGTCAGATTTTTTATTCAACTCCAAAAATATATTTAATTTGATCATTTTCTAAAACTTAAAAACATGGAAACTATAGAACTGACCAATTGAGTTAGATTTATTTCTTATTTTTGTAAATTGTAAAGCAGTGTGGGCAGGCAAAGCCACTCCAAAATTGTCAATGTTGGTGCTTAGAAATTCTAGAATATAAGCTAGAACCAAAGTTAACAAGTTAAATAAAAAAGGTAAAAAGCTAAATGAAAAAGTTAAAAAGTTAAATTAGGTGGGATTGTGCATACTGTGCCTTTACTAGTCTTCTAACCCTATGTTTGACACTTCCTCTTTTCTCGCTTACTCGTTTCCTGTCCTGTTTCTCTCAACAGGCTGCAAGTAACAGGACACATCAGACATGCTCATTGCAACTGCAACCAAGAATATCATCCAGAAAGCCTCTGAAGCCATTTAAGAGTAAATGGATGTTTTCACTCTCCTCCGTTTGTGTTTTAACCAAAAGTTTCAGGCACATTTTAAAATGGATTTGTGCATGTATGCTTTTCCATCTATTAAATACCTCTCCTCTCTGATGAGCCTCCCTGAGATGATGGAGAGGAGGAGGATGAGGAGTTAGAGGAAGTTCTTTGTAGTATGGCATCGAGGGAGAGCTCAGAACGTCTCAAATCTGGATTACTGGAACAAAAAAAAAAGCTGTTATTTTACTTTGTTTAGACTTCACAGGCAAATGGGTAAATAGAACAGAAGAGCATTGAAAGAAAACAGTAGCTCCTTTTCAAATTACAGTTAAATCTAAATTAAAATATAAGCCTAATACACAAAGGAGTACACTCAGTAAATACTTTTAAGGTAGTTGTTGCTTTGGTCTTTACCTGGCTCGTATGAGCTGAGAACCTGTGCGAGGGCCCTGAACCACACCGCCATTAGGGGAATTCTTTCTAACGAGGGCTGGAGATATGGAGGTTGTCCTCTGGGGGACCTGGCCATAAAAATTAAAAATAAAAATCACTTGAAACAATTGATCTTCTTCTGGAGAGAAATTCCGGTATTTACGTAATTTAGCACTTTCACAATTTATTGTATTGTGACAAGAAAATCCACTGTGTTTTAATGTATCTCAATTTGATATGACAGACTGACACAAAGTAGCACATCATCACTGATGATGATAGAATCTTTGACGGACAAAAGCTGAAAAATTGTGCTGTTTATTTTTATTTAACCTCCATAATTCAAAACTTAAACTTCACTGACTGAGCTGCAAGTGTGCATTGGTTACATGTCTACCAGCTCTTTACATCGTCCTGTTGCTGCAAACACATTTTCACCTTAGGTGGTGTGTGGGCTCTATTTACCAAATAAACTAAATATCTCTAAAGGCAACTTGCTTAGCTGCATTTTGCAAGAAAATGGAGCTGAATATAAATACCTGAAAAGTTATTTAAGCTAATTTTGGAGAAAGAAAAAAGGAAACAACGGATCAGTTCTCTTATTCTAATAATAATTCAGTACTTTGTGTTGGTCTGCAAGAGTATTTTTTAAGTGGGCCACAGAGCCAGAGGGCCTGTTAAGGTGGCACTAGAAAACAAGGAGGGGGCCCAGCAGCATCATATAAGAAAGAAACAACTATAACAAAACAATCTTTTATTTGCACCCTGCAAAAAATTGTACAGCTTTTGTGCATGTCTAGGCACAAACATCTAAAACTGAATTCAATTTAGTAGGGTGGGAGCTCATCTAATATGCCAATCATTCATAAAATGCTGAAGCTGAAATAAAAAAAAAATATGAAAATGGTGTACAGGATCTGTATTTGTCAGTTTCTATACATACTGCTGTAATCTATGGGGCAAAACAGAAAACAAATGGCATAAAGGATCTTCAAGCATAAAAAAAATAATAATTAGATTATAAGTAGAATAACAAAAAAAATTATTTAAATATATTCATATTTAACGAAGTCAAATGCAAAAATGGAATCAGTCATTTCCAATCTTTAGTAAATAAAAGTAGCCAACCCTGGGGGGCATATCCTCCTCCCTCAGCCAGGCAGTCCTATCCCGATCTCTTTCCTCCCTGCCGCTGATGTGCTGTGAGAGACTTGCAGTTTCAGAATTGGGGTCTGAATTCTGACGGGGCATTTCAGGCTTTGGTGATGCCACGCCAACCCCCTCACTCAGAGCCAAGCCCGTCTGGTCTTGCAGAGAAGGAGAGCCGGACATGGAGCTGGAGTGGGTCTTCACGGGAATGAGATGGGCCATCTGAGATGAAGGCTATGGGTGGATGGCAGATGGTAAACATTTAGGACATAAGAAGTTAAATAAGTGGATGAAAGAAAGGCAAGATTAAGAGAGGATTGCAACATAATATAAGACAGAAAGTTTGAAAATGGATAGAAATGGTTTTGAATAGTTATGAAAAAAAAGAAAAGAGGGGATATAGAAAGAGACAAACATTAGACAAATAATCACCTAATTATAAGTTACGGTAAGCTATTGCATAAAAGGATGCAAAAGGAAGCAAGGCCTTTAATTATTTCTGTGGAGACACATCAAACATTTGCATTGACTATTTCTCCCCACGCACACCAAGTCACACACACCTGTGGTTCAATGGAGCGGTGGATGGGAGGGGTGCGGGTGGGCTGCATGCCTCCGCTGCTGAACGACTCGGAGCGGGGAGGAAGGGAAGGGTCGGAGATGCGGTGGGACGCTTTGTGCTGCAGTGCTGGCGAGCTCTGCCTGTTCATCTTAGATCGCTCCTCCACCTGAGACAGGCCACATACTACAGTCACTCACAGCACAGTCAATCCCCACGCTTCACCCACTGCTTTTAATCACCCTCCTGTCACCACCACTCCCCATGCACCATCTATATGAGCCACAAGACAGTCTTAAAATCCTACAGTTGCAAGGGACAGCAGCCAGGGGGTGTAGATGTCTGTCACATCATAAACAAACTAGAATTTCCTGTTGACAACACTCATACTGTGCTTCCCGAGGATTCTTTGGAAGGTTTTTTTTTTCTTGCTGTAACATGTCTTAACGTCTTGCCAATTATAGCATATTTGAATCTGATCCAGACTTCCACAGAAACACTTATGAAATGTTACATAACATCTAAACTGATGTAGGGAGGAGTAACAATGTATAACCTGAGCTTGTGTTTCAATCAAAACCAAAAGCTAAAGCCAATATTTTCCAAGTCAAATTGCATTTTACTTTTTTGTCCCCTAAGACAGTTGTTCGGGTGGGCAGCTTTCTCAGATCTCAAATCTAAAGTTAAAAACTCATCAAGTTTTATGTTATGGTACGGAAGCATAACAACTATAATTTATTCTTTTTATGCTAACATTGTTTTAAAACTACAAACAGGAAATTATAAGAGCAGGCTTTTTGCTAGGAATATCTCAGAGGGTGCAAACCTTGGTGTATCATATTTTTAGGGGGGGTGGAGGGTATCCTTCCCATTAAATTTTTGAAATTCTCTGAACTGCTATTTCCTGCATTTTGAGTTAGAATGCTGCTATCTTTTTGTGTTTGTTATAATACTATGTTGACCCATACTATGGTAAGTGTGTGCTTGACTAAACAATCAGAAAGTGTAATGCTACGCTCACACCACACATGCTTTCAGCATCAAAAAAGTGCCTGCTGCTTTGATGCTTTTACACATTAAGGTCAGATGCACCTCAAGTTAATCTTTGATGCATCTGATGCATCTGCGGCTTCTGCTGCTCCTGTGTTCAATGGCAGAGAGTAGCTTTGCTATATTTGATTTGATAAGTGGGTAAAAAATAGTTTTAATATATTTTTATGCGAGAAAGTCAACCTCAAAACATCGTCTCTGCATTCAATTCATCAAAATTATGATCCTGCCTTAAAATATTATTTCACTGACAGAGGCGTTCAGACCCCGGCTGCGCGCTTTTACTGGGAATCCCCAGCAGCAGCTGTATCAGGCCCCCTCTTGGGAGATTTTATGACGTATGGAAGTAGATGTTAGTGTTTTTCAGCTATATGATACAAATTGCAAGCACCAGCATTAATATCGAACATATTATGCCGGCAGGTTTCGAGATTTTAAAGTATTTTAAGCATTGATAAACAGTTTCAGTGGATTACATCCGAAAAACAGGGTGTACAACGTGAAATCCGTTAAGTAAAGGGCGCACAATGTACGGCCGTACGCATTGTTAGGTAAAAGCCTGTATAAGTCTGTATGAGCCATATCAAGTAGTCGACTGCAGGCTAGCTATTCAAACATATATATTTGACCAATAGACTAGATAATACATGGTTAAGTATTGCATTTGTTGTACAAATTAGAGAGCAGACTGGCTAAATGGGACAATATTCTTTGATGTAAGCACATTTTTTAAACTCTGAAATTATTTAAAATGGGGTATATTCAAAAGATTTGCTGACGTTTATTTATAATACCACAAAACCCTCATAGCGGGCATTTTATAATTCAACAACAATGTCATAAGTCATTCACAATTTAAATCTGGTTGAATTTCTCCCAAAAGTAAAAGATATTAAACGAAAAGATGAGAAAACTGTCTATATATAGAAATCTTAAATTTTTTTCAAATATTGGCTTTGCCTCAGATTATCCATAAACAAATCAAGGCTGCAAGAGTCTTGTCCAGAATAGAAACTGAGGACTAAAAGAGTCTTGTGGCTGTAGGCATAGGTCAGTAATGATTCCTAATCTCCTTTTGCCAGTTCATATTCAAAGAACAATAAAGAATTTTAAATGTGTTGTTCACACATGCAAATCCATTTGTTAGTACTCAAGTATCCAAGACTGGTAAGTGTCTGGTGTTTCATACAAAAAAAAAAAGAAAGAAAAAACGGATATTTTTAGACTCACTACATATCTTTATTAAAAAGGCAGAAAGCACCTTTCAGCACGGAAATCAGATTAACAGATTATCTGCTGTGTTGCAAGAGAAGTCACCAGAGAAAACTCCCAGCTGCCAAAATCCCACCCCAATCTACTCAACATCAGGTTAAAGGGTGAATCCTGGCTCAGCAGGGCATAGCTTCAAAACTTTCAAGGTACACATGTAAATGTGGTGAAATCTATTCTGTCGTTCTGAATCCACATATGGTTAGAGTTCAAGAGGTTTGTCTATGATTAGTAGCTGTTTTTAATATTCATGTATATTTTTTTCCTATAGCTTAAAGCTACAACCATTTAACTTCAATGTATTTCATTGGCATTAAATGTCAGCAACAAAATGTGAAAACTGTGGCCCTGCTTTGTATCCAGACTCCATTATTTTTTTAAACGTATTTAAAAAAACTCCAATGCAATTACTGCAAAGGTCACTGAGCCATAAAATACACCTATGTGTAACTTAATCTCAGTCTAAATGAGGCAGTTCTGTAAGTTAAGAAAATAATATGTTAAGCTTTATCCCATGAAGAACTGTTTAAGCACAGGGGAGCTAGTCAGAGCTGATGGGAGCATGGATGGAGCTAAAGGACAATCAAGGATACAAAAAGGTTTCAACTAGCTCAATTGCTACAATAAAAATAAAAAACTAAGTAATATTTAGGTTTGTTTATATATATATATATATATATATATATATATATATATATATATATATATACATTCATACATACTAGGGGTGGAACGGTTCACAAAATCCACGGTTCGGTTCGGTTCACGGTTTCGTGGTCACGGTTTTCGGTTCGGTTCGGTATATGTTTATTGCTACACTGAAAAATAAAAAAATTTATAAAAATTATAAAAAATTAATGACATTTTTTTTTATGAAATTAATGAAAAAAAATCCCAAAAAATTATTGAATTTTAATTATTTTTAATGATTCGCGGAAACCATGGATCATTTCCGCATGTTTTGCTGCTTTAAATTTAATCATCTCACGCATGCCCTCTACGATCTCCAAGGAACTCAGAGCGGAGCGGATGGGAGCCACAGTGGAGGCTGTAGGCTTTGCTTCGTGCAGGCGGTCTGGAGCGCAGCGGAGCGCTGATGGAGTATGTGGGATTTCGGGGTTAGAATGACATGTTGCTGTTAGCATAAACAAAACGTGTTGCACAACTGTTGCACTTTTATCCACAACTTTCTTTCCGCCGTCATCGTAGGTCACTCTAAATGCAAAGTGGTCCCATACAGCAGACCTATAAAGTGCTGCTGGCACGTCTTCCAACTCCTGTTCTTTCCCACTCGCCCTACCCACACAATTCTCCACAACAACTGATTTTTTTCTGCTACACCCGGCTACGCTGCTTCGCTTCTTCTTCTTCTTCTTGTTTACAACTGGTTGTTGGCTTTGGTCGCAGTACCGCCACCTTCTGATCTGGAGTGTAATTGCTTCGCCTATGAGAAAAAGGAGCAGCGCATGAACCGAACACAGCACACGCAAACCGAACCATTCCATCCCTATATTTCCTGAAAGCGCGCACCTGCGCGATTCCGACGCTACGGAAGCCGGCAGACCAAACCAGCGCATTCAGCTCGGCAAAGAACTCATGCCTGAAGTCCTCAGACATTTTTCTTTCATTGTTTCTTTCTTTGCACAGGTAAACGGCACATTTCTTCTTCTACGCTTGCATTATCGGCAGAGCAGACGCTGAATGCGCACTTTCATCTGGTTTGGTCTGCCGGCTTCCGTAGCGTCGTGATCGCGCATGTGCGCGCTTTCAGGAAATCCTATACACTACTGTTTATGTTTTAAAAACATTCTAAATGACTTTGTTTCGAGTAAATTCTGGATGCTACCCACTCAGGAAACTTGGAATACATTGGACGAGCAGTATGGAGGAATATTGAAACGTTTTTGTGGACTTTTATGGACCTTTCTGCCTCGGGCGCTGGGCACCTCCATTATTTGAATGTCAGCAGACAGCAAGAAGCCTCCCAGATCTCCAGATGCATTTGAGATATCAAAAAAGTACTCCAGGGTGTTGTTCAGCATGGGGGTGAGTAGAAAATGAAGGCTAATCATGTTTTGGGTGTACTATTCCTTTAAGATTAATAGTAAAACCAAACATCAATGATCTTCCTGTTCACCACTATCATACATTTTATGTGTGTTCAGGTTTTATAAAATCAAAATAAAATACATTGAAGTTTGAGGTCATAAACTGACAAAATTTGAACAATTTGAAGTTCTGAAAATATCTTTTGAAAGAATTTATGCCAAACTGTGACATCTTTCAAGCCAGTATGAGAAAGATGACTACAAGGAAGTAAAGTAAAAAATACACTCTGCCAAGTCAAGACAGAAAAGCTGCCCAACATGAAGTTAGCTGCTTGAGTGACAAGGTAATACCATACTGATGATGCAATAAACATTCAACAATGCACAAAAATCAAAAACTTAATAAAGGAAGATGATCAAAAGATGATCTGTGAAAGAAGTTAGCAGTTAAGGTTAGTAAAGTTTGACTTCCCTATAAGAAACAGAAAAACTGCGGTTAGTAAAAGAAGAAAGAAAGCTTTTGGGTAGCCCTGCTGAAACATTTACCACCCAAAAACATTCTTCCTTCTATAAAAATAACTAATCCGGAGGAGTATTAATTGTGGCGCATCTGTAACTGCATTAGAGGCACCAAGAAGGGACAAAGAACAGGATTGTGAAAGATCCTTTGTGACTATTTGATTTTAGCAGAGGAAATCCACCACCGCTTCACCTGCACCAGTCACCAAGAGGGAATCAGATCAAGTGCTTTACTGACCTAAAGTCAAACTGGGATGGGTTGGATTTCCTGCTGACATCACATCATATGTGTATGGGGGTGGATCACTGCAGGCAATGTTGAAGATGGGGTGGGGTGGGGTGGGGTAGTGTAAAGGGGCTTATGGAGTCAGGTATAAAAGGTATTCGGGGATCGGTCTGTGTCAGCCTGCATTTTAACATCTGCATCTTGTCTTTAAAGTTTAAAGCTTTAGAATATATTTATATAAAATATATACAGCTAATTTACATGACTTTACAGAAGGGTAAGCATAAGAGAATTTGGTGAGCGCATTTTTTAACATTATCCCATATTTCAGACAATGGATTTCAGACAATGTTTTTCAGACATTTGAGTTTCAAGTAAAGACAGAGGATGTATCTAAAAATGTTACACGTAGTGTAAAAAATACACGACTTACTAAAATAACTAAAATTACAAATCTGTATGTGCATGTGTTTATTTATGTTGTCATATGTACATGTGTTTTGGAGCAAGGTCAAAAACTCTGCTCTCATTGTCCTTTTTTAGTTCAAAACCTAGAAGGGAAACCCAAAGAAAAACTTTGGGGAATTGCGTTTGGGAGAACGGTTACCACCTGAAGGACCTGCAATGATGTTTGTGTCCAGATGTATTTTGTTGGGCCCAAAGTCTATGGGTGAGGAACTCCTTGAGTGGGCTTTTGGGGTTGTGGGTGATTGTAAAGGGGAGATGGATTGAGATCTGCGAGGAGGAAGACCCAGCCAAGAACTTGCCAATTTTGGTGAAGAGACTTGTAATTGCTCAGTGGAGCGAGAACGAGTCAGATGATTGTTTAAGATTGAGAACTGTTCAGGGAGTCTGAGATGATTGCTGCTGATATATTCAGGGTAGTAGGGGTTTCCTAGATTTGGAGAGCTACTTGCAGGGTAAGAGAGAGAAAGGGGATCTATTTCTAGACTATTTTGGGACTGCAAGCGACCTCTAAGGTTCTCATGGCTGGCAGAGGACTTCAGATTACTAGCTAAATAGCTTGAAGTGAAATCCTGACTTGGTCTCAAATGTTGTTGGTTAGGAGAGACATCCCCCCACTGTGAAGAACCTAAGAAAGTCCCAGATGCATTTGTCAGGCGTGGAGGGTTCAGATTATTATTAGGTTCTACCTCTACCTCTATTCTACGGCAAGGTGAGTGAGACCGCCCAATAGCTGAGGGACTAACCGATAGGCGCATCTTAGCAGATGAGCCAGACTGTGGAGTCTGGGCCTGTCCTGAAGCCTGGAGATGAGGTTGAAGTACTTTAGCCTGTGATCTTGCAGAACTACCCTTATCCTTTGATGCCTTCTTGACTCCTTCTATCTTATGCCCAAGGGGACCTTTGCCAGAATTGTTTTGCATTTGGATCTTGCCCTTGTTCTGCTCTGGGATGTACTTATCTTGGGGTGTCAAGTAATCTGGGGAAATGCAAATTTCGGGGACTTTGTTTGTGACTCCTTGGAGTGGTTTTTCAGATATCTGAAGTTCTCTAGCGGATTGAGACCTATGTGCTTTCTGAGGAACCTTGTTTTCTCTAGAGGTTGGACTTTTAATGGCTTGTGCAGGCAATTTACCAAGAGCATTTGGCCGCTTCTGGACCTAGGAGTCAAAGTCAAAGTCAGAAGACAGTAAGTAGAAGTGCAACAAGCATCATTATAATATATTCGTTTTTTCATTAGAGGAATCTCTTGCATAAATCATTATCCTATCTTATTTGGTAAACAAAAGAAGAATCCTGCCTTGCTGGTTTCCACTTACCTCCTTAGCCCAGGCAGGCTTGTCATTAGGATTACTGGCATCCTTGAAGTGGTAAAGCTGTTTCTTCTCCGCTTGCCTTCCCTCCTGCTGCTGTTGTTGCTGTTGGTGTAGAGACACCAGGTAGGCTCTCTCCTGCTGGAGCTTCATCTGTAGAAGTTCTGCCTGCCGCTGCTCCGCGATCTGTTTACGCTTGTACTCCTAGAAAGAGAAAAGAAGAAAGAAGAATGAAAGGGATGATGTGCTGGTAATAGGCTAAAAGACAATGCGGTGTAAAATTCTACATTTCTGACGAGAACACAGGAGATAAAGAGCAGCACATAGCAATCACTAAAGCAGGTCAAAGTTAACATGGTGACATGGAGCCTTAGTCTTTACAGTTGCTGTCAGAAGTTTAAATATCCTCCTTAATCCGAAAAATCTCAATATATTGAACCAAAACAGGTTGCATCAAACATGAAGGTGCGACAATCATTCTGAGTATCTGTTTGCCCGCAAGTGCATTGGAGCACTGGCTGAATTAATAAAAGAATGCCTGCCCCTAATTTGTTATAACTTGCTTCAAATCAGCGGCTGAGTAGGCATTTGTCCTCCTGCAGGCAGATACTAAGACTGTGAAATTCAAATAACTCAAATAGAGCGTTGTCTCATTACGTACAGTAGACAAACTGAAACATTCCTCTTATATATTTACAGTTTATCTCTGTGTACTACATGGAAAGTCTAAGCTGATGTCTGCAAAATGTTATTATGGGAAAATTAAAAGAGCAAAGTCTCTTGATTCTGGATGGTTGATAAATAAATAAATACAACTGGACAATGGTACAGCAAAAAAAATCATCCGAACACATGCATTTAATCTAACAGGTTAAAGAACAGCCCTAGCCCCAAACCTATATAGAAATAATGGGTGATGTTTTAAATCAAGGTCCAGCAATAAGGTTTATGAACCTTTGTTCACAATTTGTTTTGCAGCTGTTGATAAAGAAGTGTGATTTCTTAGTGGGGAATGTGGAGATATAAATATAAATCCAAATAAATGTAAATACTATATATATATATATATATATATACACACATATATAAATATAAATGTATATAATGTATAAATATATATATATTGTATATATACTTGCTTTTAATCTGTTTTTGTGGTCCAATTGTTTTATTTGTTTTATAAATATTTTGTGTTTTATTCTTCTTTTATTTTTCTTTTACTTTGAATTGTCCATGTTCTGAATTGCGCAATACAGGCCTTGCCTTGCTTTAAAACATGAATGAACTGATTTAGATTTTAAAAAGTTTAAAGTAATTCAGCTTTACGCATTCATTTTTTTTTATTTTAAAGCACACTAACTTTGTCTTTAAACTGTATGTATGTACATAGTGTGTAGTGATAGATAAGTCTTGATAGTTTTGTTTATTTAAGAAGTTGACAATAATGTTTTTTACAGTTTATAATAATGGGTTAAATATAACCCAGATAAGCAAACAACTCAGTGATTAATGGTGAAACAGAAGGACGCCTGAGGGTTGAGAGTGTAGAGAGAATAAAAGGTGAGATTCTGGTGCATGGGATCAGTTTTGGCTCAAGACTTTTAAGCTGTTATTTCCTAAAGAATACAGAATAATCAATATAACTTAAATAAAGCTAAGAGTGTTTAAACAGTAAATTACATAATTTAAAACATCAGTCTTCAATTATCTGTTTGTTCCTTAGAGATCCAAATAACTTTTTACACCTCAACATGTAATAACCGATTCCATAACTCCAAAAGCTAAAATTCCATCGGCTTTTCCACACATTTGCAGTTACGAAGTTGAAAGGCTCAGAGGGGGATTCAGCTGTCCCTCAGGTGCATGCAGCAGGGATGGGGACCACACGCCACAGATGAGGAGCAGTGAGGAGAGACTGTAGTTTACCAGTAATAAAGCCTGTTCCTGTAGGAGCTGCTGCTGGAGAATCTCTAACTGCCTCTGTTCCTCCTCCAGCTGTCTACGAATATATTCCTGAGCAGCATGTTGACAAAGGGAGAAAAACAGAAAGAGAAAATCTGAAAAAACCCTCACAAACAGATAGAGAAGGAAAGACTGAGAGAGAAAGGAAAAAAAGAACAGATAATGTCCTCAGGTGCCGGCTGAGATAAACAAGTGAAACTAGATGAAGCAAGGAAGAAGCCTTGAAAAACCTGCAATAAAACCAAAAAAGTAAAGAGGAAGACAGATAATAGAAGATATATTTTCAAATCAGAAGGAAAGCGTAAGATTGGCAATAAAAAATTCATATGCAGTAGAAAAACAGAAATGGATAAATGAAGTTTGCAGAAAGGACAGGTGTTGTATTTAATAAGCTTATATGCAGTACCTAGCAAAAGTATTCAAACATATTTATATAATCAACCAAAGTTGTTACTACTACAACTTTATGTGATAGATCAAAGCAAAGCAATGACAAATTGTAAACCTAATATTTTACTGATCAACTGAAAGTGAGGAATTTCAAAAGACTTGCATGCATTTGGATTCAGCTCCTTTTAATGTTTTTTTTTTTTTCATTAAATTTGATCAAAACATTTGGCCTCTCTGACTGAGTGGCAAGGAAGAAAGACACTCTCCTATTTATGCGTTTGCCACAATCTACACAGGAGACACAGCAAACATGGAAAAGAAGATGCTCTGGTTTGATGACAACAAAATAAAACTCTGCCCGATATGCAACAAAGTATTTAAGAAAGAAAACAGACCCCAAAGATCAGTCTAAACACATGATCAACACGATGAACGCCTCATATCTTTCATTTCTCAGGCCAGGCTAGGTCAGACCAAGCCAGGATAACAGTCATGTAAGATGGGAGGATGTACACAATTTACCCAAGGCAATCCTGGAAAAAGCCAATTGGAAATCAGTCGATACTTTCAGATTTCACCATGGGTTCACATTCCCTTCCCTTCCTAACCCTAAACATGCACCTAGAGCTACAATGGTTTTAGATCAGATAACATTTATTTTCAAATATCCCAGTTAAAGTCAAGGCCTAAATGCAGCTAAGTATCATTTTCCCATATGATCTCTTTAGTTGTAAAATATAATGTGCAAACATTTCAATCTCTGCAAACCTTGTAGAAAAACATCACAAAAATGTGCAGCTATAACTCAAGTGTAAGGCGGATCTACACAGTGAGACTAGGGAACTGAATAAAAAAGTATACCCACTTTTTAAAATATTTTTTGTAAGGTATGATATAGCTCATTACATTAGCCCCTTTACAGTTTATTGCTACCACCAAACGATGACATATATTACAGTTAATGCTTAACATGGCATAACATAACTGCAATGGTTGAAACAATTTGACTCAGACACATTTGTGCAAACTGTTGCATTTCCTCCAATATCAGCATGACGACACTCTGACCCTCCACAACTTCTTACCTAACCAAAACAATAAGTTTTAAACTCAGCTAACATGGCAATTCAATGCAGAAGAAAACCATCTTTGACCACCAAACACAAAGATATTGCTTTAATCTACTCTCTACAAATAGGGCAAAAAAATGAATTCCAAATGATGCCATGCAACATCTGATGTCTTTATCTCATCCTAAACAGTGAATAAATAGGATAAAAAAAAGCAGTGTGCCACCCTAATCAATTATCAGTTTCATCATAAAGACATTTTATGGCTAACGAGGCTAATAATAAAGATTATGGTGGAGCCAGACTAAAGCTAACAATTAGAGCAGAAAAAAGTTGGAATCCAGTGCAACCGACACGCTGCTGTAATTCATCTTTAAAGAAGATGAAGAAAAAGATTGAACCTGCAGGACTGCTTTATACAGTACATTTCAAATTTTAGAATCACAAGTCTTCCAAAATACTATTGGTTTTCTATAGCAGATTTATGAGGGGTAAAGATCTCTGCATTGGAATGAATAATACCAGTCTTTACATTATTGATACATAAAAACTCTAGCCAAAAATTTTTTAATCCATCAAAGGGGCTAACTGAGATTCAAAAAAATAAATGAATGAATCGAAATATGAACCTGTTCTCTGGCAGCTTGCCTCCTCTCCTCCTCCCTGCGGATCTTCTCCATTTCCTCAAAGCGGCGTTTCTCCTGCTGCTTCCTCAGCTCATGCTCTCTCTTCTGTTGCTGTTGAAACAGAGATCCACGTAAGGGTTTAGAAACTCAAAATAATGACCTAAGTGACTGAGGAAGGAAGGAAGGAAGGAAGGAAGGAAGGAAGGAAGGAAGGAAGGAAGGAAGGAAGGAAGGAAGGAAGGAAGGAAGGAAGGTTAGCTTAGCTGCGTGTTGGGAGGCAAACCCTGGTGAAATCAACAGAGAGCAAAAAGGCTATGAGTTCAGTATTTAGCGGCCATAATCCTGCTCTCTGGAACTAAAGGGCAGACGTGGGGGAAAAGACTGTCTGTGCCTTTTTATTCTTTTTTTCCTTACCAAAATGGGCTAATTTGCAAGTTTTTACACTCAGGATGAGAATAAATGACTTTATTTCAAGCACTTCAGCTTGAGAGATTAAAGAAATAAATCATTTTTGCAGCAGAAAAATTTAATCAATTTGTCCTCTTGTTCTGGTCCGTCTTACCTCTTCCAACCGCCTCCTCTGCTCCTTCTGCTCTTCAATGCGCTTCTGTCTCTCAGCCAGCAGCAATCGTTTGTGCTCATCGTTCTGCTTCTGCTCCAGCTGCTGCCGCCGCTGTGCCTCCGAGCGCTCCTTGTTGGCCTGCTGAAGGCGCAAGAAATCTCGCCTCAGAGTTGACTCCCCCGGGACGTTGATGATGGAGCTAAGAAGGCAGTCAAATTTCAAGTCAGTAAAAAGAGATGCTGAATGTGTTGTGGGTAAAAATGCACAGATGGTTTTGTAAAACAGTGGATTTGTGGAAAAGGCTGACCTTGGTTCACCCTTTTCCCTTTCTTCATCTTCCTCTTCGCTGCCACTGTACTCATACTCTGTCTCATCTTATGAGGAAAAAAAGGAGGGAGCAGGAATAAAATATTGATAACTACATTACTTTCTCTTTTACTTAATAAACAACATATTTCTTCATCTTAACAGGATTTTCTTTATGTAAAACACATTGAAACAACATTGGGTATGACAAGGCATTACATAAACTAGATTAAATTAAAATATACAAATTAAATAAAAATTAAATTTACAGAAGAGCCACACAAAGAACATATTTGTTGAAAGTAAACTAAAATAAGTTCCATAAACAGTTTGCAGTCCAATCTGTTGAAAACCAAAAAAGCTGGTCAGAAAAGTTGGCCGGAGTCAAGGGGAAGATATTTAATGCTAAGGAAAATTATTTTACTGTAATGAACATTTAGAGACTGTAAAGAGTTGAAAAATAGAAGTTCAATGCAGAAAAAGTTGTATTTTAGAAAAAAAAATTTTTTGGATAAAGTTTGAGATTCCGCTAACCAGAGCTATCTCTATAGTTTTGCTTCTATAGGCCTAAAATGCTGGAGGACATAGGGACCCCTTTTTCATCATTCTGCTTCATTCTATCCTTATTCTCCCCTTTTGCAGTATTTGTTAGTTCAATCTATAACGTTATGCTCTCTGCTTTTTCTTCATCTGGTCTGTTCCTGTGTGGTTGTTACACCATCTTGGAGAGAAATATCAGCCATGCTGCTGCCATCAACACCTCTGTTATAGGCATTGGAGTTTGGCCTGTTTTTCAGTGGAACTAGTTGATAGTTGCCTTTAGTGTCTCTGCTTCTTTCTGTATCTCTGCTTCTGTCTTCTTGAACCCCTGTCGGCCTCGGCAGATGGGGGCTCAGACTGAACCTGGTTCTGCTGGAGGTTCTTCCTGTTAAAAGGGAGATTTTTTTCTCCACTGTCACCGCAAGCATGTTTGGTGTGAGGGATTGCCTTCGAATCAATGAGTCAATGCAATCAAATGGTTTTCATTATATAGAAAACTTTGAATCAATTTGACTGTATAATCTGGTTGAAATGTCTCTGTAGAGTGCCTTGAGATGACATGTGTTTTGAATTGGAGCTAGATAAATAAACCAAATTTAATTGAGCTATTTTAAATCAAAAGAATAACAAAAACATTTCGTTTCCAGATGTGTAAAGCTGGTAGAGATACATGTCTTGAGTATTGAGATAATAATATAATTAACATTCAAGTTCATAGGTGTGCGATACTTTGTGATGCTCCAAAGCAAACCAATATAGACAGGTTGACTTTTTCGATCGTAATGTAAAGAGTCGTTGAAAATACCAAGGAATTTAAAATCCTTTGGAAGAAACTATAAGTAAGTGAGAAAAGCTAATAACCAACAGAGAGGAAAACCATTTTGTTTCGTGTCATAAATGTTCCACATGAATTACCCCTGCTCATTATCGACATTGGAATTCACACATCCTGGTTCGTCCAAGGCATTTTCTTTGAGCGGCTTTGAATAAAATTGCAAATTGCAGTTTTACCGGGTGTAGTGAGGTGGAGAACATTAGCTCGAGAGCTCTTTTAGTGAAAAGGCATTTAAAGCCATAAAGGCTGAAGAAAGTGGCAAGCTCTTCCTCACACAGATCAACAGATCAAGCTGCAGAAATGTGCTGTCTTCACAGTGACAGGACGGTTTTATACAGCCTCCCAGTGACATGTCCCCCCTTGGATCAGTTAAGGTGGTGTTTTTTCCCTACAGTACAATGAGGTTCTGTCTATCCTCATCATGATGTCTTTGTGTCAAGCAAGCTTCTTAAAGAGGTCTATCACTTTTATTTTTTGGAGCAAACCAAGAATGAGAGAGCTTTGTTTAAAAACTATAAATTGTCTTCTAAAGAACACCTTGTAACACGCAGCAGGCTTTGGTTTATTATCCTCCTGAAATGTATTTCCTTTTGGCAACGCCTCTGCATACTGGCAGAACGACTGTCAAAAAACAACAACACAAAAAACTGGCATTCGAAGCAACATATAAAAAATACTTCTTGCAATTACCCATGCAGGTTTTTGTCCATCTCATATCAAAATGTAGGTCGAAATTAAGCAAAATGCTTGCCTTAGTGGGTTTCTTTTTTAGGTGTAATGACGTGAATAAAATCCTGTGTTATACAGTCTACTTATCTACTTTAATATCATCTGGGATTAAAAATAACAACTATGGGCACATGTTGGAATCTTTTCTATGTTTTTATAATGCACACAAGTCTAAAAGTCTTTAGATTTTCCCACTAATTTTTCTAAAATCCAAATTGTTTAGATTTTACATATTTAGGTTTTTTTTCCTAGACTTTAGCTACAAATATCACAACCGCTCAGAGAACACATGGTAGCAAAATCTAAAGATTACTTTAAACTAGGACTGGACGATAAACCAGATTTTTACCGTTACCATCATTCACTACAATAACCGGCGCAAATTTTCCCATGTCGGTAAATTTGGTAAATAGGTCGGTGAATAATTCTGCTGTTTTGCCTGTGTGCACTGGTGGCTGGTATTTCTTTCCCCTTCAAGACACTGCAGCAAGTGGGGAATTACATGACTCCACCTATCCAGTCAGAAGCTTAAACAAAGAGAATGGTGTATCTGCCCAGCGAAGAAGCGTCTAACACAGCTGTAAACTAAATTACATCAATTAATCCTGGGGAGCCGTGCAAGAGTAGCGATGAAGCTGGCAGACTTGTTTTGAGTAAAGGTGTGCGAGTTAAAACGATGCACTTTGTTCTCAGTGAACGCTCAGTTCGGTGGCACCAAAATTACGCCATAGATGTTAAGCAAAAGAACACAAAATACAATTTGCTGGAAAACTGTCTGGACTACCCACAGTAACAAATCCAACCTTCACCAGCTACAGCACAAACACGCTGTTGAGTTTACAGATGTGCACAAGGCTCCATTACCTTTGGGAAAAAATATTTGCAAGAGAGGTAACATTTTTTTCCGGTTCAATGAGACATTGCTGAATGTCTAAATTTAAATGGGTACAGAAGTTTAATATTTAACTAAAAGTAATATGTAATGTGATTTATTCAATAAAATAAAATATAAATAGATTAGTTGTATTTCCTGCACATGCCTTTATTTCTGATAGGGGAGTCGAAGCATTTATTGTGCATTTATGGTTATCGAGGTATTTATAGTGAAATTGATTTGAGGTCATATCGCCCAGCCCTACTTAAAACCTTACTTTGTCTCTAAGCTTGGGCTTGGATTCTGAAAAAAACAACAATACTGGACTTTGAATAAATGAAGCAGAATAACATTATAGCTCACTCATATATTTTTATCAGAACTTTGCCAGTTCTGATATTAATACAGTCAAAAATCTAGAATGAAATAATGTCAAAAGGCTGCTGATAGCTTCAGAAATATGTAGTTTATCAATTGCTAAGAAAAATGTATCTAAGCATTTGTGAAAAATCAACACCTAGCCCATCTTTTACAGGCCGTTTTTATCAGACCTCGTGTAATCAATTCAGAATAATGTTTCAGATGCATAATCTAAGGAGCCAAATGACCTTTATATTTATGCTGAAGATGCCTGCAATCAGTTTTCAAACAAAGCTGTAATATTCTTCTCACTATCAGCCACTAACTACTTTATGAAACATCTTAAAATCAATTCCCAAGCTGAAACAGCAGTCTCTCCTCACCCCTCTCTCCTCTCTTCTTCTTCGTGCGGTCGATGTGGTCCTTCAGCTGGATGCGCAGGTGTCTCTCATTGGGAAGCTCTGCGATAAAGGCATGGGAGAGGAGTTGCTCTGTGCTGGGCCTCTGGGTGTGGTTCTTCACCAGAGTGCTTTCAATAAATGACTGGAACTTCCGTGACCTAAAATCCAACATGTATAAATCTGAGAGTGAGTAAAAACCCCTTTTTTAGAGCAGCAAGGCTAACTGCATTGTATGCATAAACTAGTAAATGGATTTGCTTTGGTAAATGTCACAATTCATACTCACCACTTCTTTGATTTGAGTCTGGGAGCTGGATTACGTGGAATGAGGAAAAGTGCTCTCATCGGGTGCATATCACACAGCGCTAAACATTGGATTACATATAAGGGAAAGTGAGCATGACTTGCTGAAATTTGATTAAAACTGATATCTTGATGCATACAAGCTAACGATACATTAAGAGTTCCCTCATTTTAATAAATCACACAACTGTTTACTGACTTTAAATCAAATAAAGAACTTATGTCGTTCCAAACTGTATGTATGTATGTAATACAATCATTTAGTTTTAAATTTCTTTACAACTTTTAGACAGTCGACCATTTCTACTCTGTTTTAATGGCAGAGTAAATAATTCTCCAAAGCATTTATAATCACATCAACATGTGACTAATGGCATATGTTAGGCCAGGATACACAAGGAGGTGCATTGACAATAGAAATTTCCCAAACAATACCTTTTTTAAATTACTGGTGTAAAAAAATACTGTTTCTAGTAACAACAAATGGTTAATAGCATTTCATGTCTGCCAGGTCTCCAGATAATCTGCCTAAAGACTAAAACTATATTTGAAAAAAATGAAAGAAAAAAAAGCTAAATGTTCTTAAGAACTTGATATTCATTCTGATACATATTTTAAATTTCTCTCATTATGTATGCCAAATTAAGTAATTGTTCCGTAATTTATTCCCAACAGATTTTGGTAATTAAAAACGTAGTAAATCATGAGTGTATGAAATACAGAAGTATATTATAAAAAAGGTGGCTTAAATGCTCATGCTTCTGTTCTATATTTTCCTGTGTGTTGGTTTACGAATCTAAATCCAAATAATAAATAAATCATATTTTAAGTTCTATTATAATCACATAGTTGTGGTTAAACATTTACATAACCTTCCATTAAAGACAGAAAAAAATCAGCTGCCAGTAGAATAAATTACAGTTGTCAAAATTATTAAATTAAAATGTAAAAAAATGGAAATCAGGACATTGATTTTGAATCTGAAGTGCAAACGACATCAACAAATCTTTAAACACAACTACAATTTGAAAAAAAAACATCAAAATGTTTTTGTAAATGTTGTGTTTTTGCAAATAATGTGTTTTTGAATTTGTAGTTGTGTTCAAAGATTTGTTAATGTGTTTGGACATTAGGGCCAACGTATTTATAACCGCATTGGCACGTAAACAGGAGGGAAATAACGTGAAAATACGAACCCTGCATCAGACTGCCATCAGTTCATCAATTCAGCTGAGCAAAGTGTTGCCAAATCAGTGACTTTGTAGCTATATTTAGCAACATTTCAGACTTTTTTCTTTTAAACAACTAGCAACAAAACCTAGCAACTACTTCCTGTCTTGTAGGAGACTTTAGTGACAAAACATGCACCGATCTGAGTTTAGTGTCTTCATTGACGAGTGAGCGAGCGAGCCCCTCTGTTTCTGCACCCAGAGGAAGAAGAGCGACTCTCTTGTTTCCCCACTGAACATCATCCACACATTACAGTAGCAAAGCTTCCACTAATCCCCCCAAATAAAAAAGTGGGATGTAAATATAATATTTCATGTTTTTTTGTCTTTGAACCTATAGATCCTCCCTGCATTTAATTCATACACACCTCATCCACTATGTACCTCTACTTACTGCCTTTAAGCTTAATCTTATAACATAAAATTTATTTAGTCTCAGTTCAGCAACACTAGAAATTGTTTTATAAAGTTGATCTTGAATTTTAAATGTAAATGGAGATTTTTTTATCACTTTCTGTCTTGATAATGCTGATGTACCAATTATGCAATTACTTCATTACTACTGGGCATAACGTTTATAAAAATCCTGGTGAGAACCCTTCAATGTAGACCAGTCCTTCAAAGACCTCAAAAATTATTAAGGCTGGAAGTGACCAGCTGTGAATTGGGACAGTCTTTCCTTCAGCAGTTCTGCGCTCTCAGCTCAGGGTAACTGGGGTGTGGTGCTGACGGCATGAAGCACAGACCTATGAAGACTAATCATGATCCTTTTTCACATAATTTAGTCTGATATCAGGCATATTGTTCACAAAATATTCAGCAATACTTCTGTATTTTTTTTTTTTTTAAGAAATTCAAAATGAACATTTTGTTTAACCAAACAATCATTTAGTACATTTTTATTTATTATTCCTTTTTTGTATTATTTGAATTTCTAGTGCATTTTCTTTAATGGGAGGATATTTAATATTTTAAGCACAACTTTATATAATACTACAGCAGTTCATGTATAAAAATCCCTTTATATTTGAGGAGAAGTGAGTAATAATTGTTGTTTTTTTTTCTTTTATAAAGAGAACAACTAGCTCCTTTCAAATATGTTCATTTCATGCTACTACTCTGCATACTGCCATTATCTTTAGAACCAAAAGTTTTCCTGGAAGAAACTGTTTTGTGCAGAATATCTACTGTGAAGATAAACAGATCTTATCTTCAATGACTAAGTTATTTATTGGGGCCAAAATGTCATGTCTGGGCCATCCCTAATCTTCACCACACTAAGCAAATGCTGTCTGCAATATCCACCCCTGTGTATGAGTGCCCTTTAAGAATGAGATCATAAATAAAAAACAGATAGAACAGACATCATCCCAGAAATCCGACATCTAATGCTTTATCTTAGTCTTTTCCATCAATAGTTTTATGCGTTTGAACAACAATCCATCTCTTGATTAAACAAAAAACTACTGAAGCTGTAAGCAAATAACAGCAGCAGACATGATGGGTATTAATCAGATACTTACGTGGTGCTCCCTCAGCCATTTCTATTGCTGTGATTCCCAGAGACCATAAATCACTCTGCAATGAATCAAGAAGAAATACTCAATGCTTTCTTCTTCTTCTTTTCTTTTTTTTTTTTTTTGCACTCCTTACGTAAAATATACATTTCAAAAAGTAATTAGAAAAAAAAACAGAGTGGAGGATTTACCTTGCAGTCATAGGTGGCTTCAGGGTTTTCATCACAGGCAATAACCTCTGGCGCCATCCAGTATGGTGTCCCAATAAATGTGTTCCTTTTTCCCACTGTTCTGTCCATCTGGGCAGAAACTCCAAAGTCCACTACAAACACACAAACAAACTCAATGCAAGATTCCAAATCTCTCTGCAGAACACAACCAGCAATATGTCAGCAAATCTAAAAATAAACCAAAGATAAATAAATAACTCTTCCTCTGAACCATGTGGGAAAAGGCAGAGAGATTCCCTTCTTTAGAATTTTGCATCTTGAGCAGCACAGCGACCACAAACAGCTGGTAGCATAAAAGCAGAACTAAGAGCCACTAAATGACACAACCATGAAACCTCATGCACCCCCTACACATATCCACATACCAAAAAGCTGTTTTATAAAGTAGGGGTTGACTAGCTCACCTAGTTTGACCTCTGCATTCTCTGTCAGCAGCACGTTCTGTCCTTTGATGTCTCTGTGTATGACCTTGTGCTGATGGAGATGAGCTAGACCCTGCAGACAAAGACAGATATGAGCCATACAGGAAACTGAGCCAAGCTGTGATTATCATTCAAGAAAGAGCTCAGAGCTAAACAGGAAAGAGTCCTTCAGTAGCAGCTTCTGTGATGCCACTGAGCAGCTGATCTGGACCTCTGACCTGCTGGTGATTGTAAAGAGAAATAGTGTATGTGTCAGGGATATGTGTCAATATGTCTCAAACGAAGGAAAAATAAATACATTTAAATAAACTGTAGAAAGAGGGAAAAATTTGAAGGGCTCAGTCATCCTTTCTAGCAAAATATTCACACACCTTGAACATTTTCGCCTTTTTGTCATGTTATGACCACTACAGTACAATGTGGTTTAGTTGGATCTTGTGATAGACAAACACAAAGTTGTGCATATTTGTGGGAGGAAAGCAATATATACATTTAGGCTTCATAAAATTAGCAGAGAACATTTCCATCAGCTCTTTAGTCTTACTGTAGTTTCTTAACTAAGGTAAAACATCTTTGCAGCTTTGAATTTGATATTCTAGTACATAAAAAAAGAAAACCGTCTTGTTTTGGCTTTGATTTAATTAAGGGTCACAGTCCTGTTGGAGAGCAAACCTCTGCCTCTGTCTTTTGCAGCTTTCAACATGTTTCTACTCTGAATTGCCCTGAAATCTCCACAAGTTGTCAAAAAATTTACAACCAATTCTGATATTGTTGAGAAAAAAAAAAAAAACATGAATTTCTTCACCATATTTCAAACAAGAGATGGTGGATTAAGGTTAATCGACATTTTTTTGTTTGTTTGTTTGTTTTTCTGCCGCCTTAAGATTTATTTAGGTAGGACAAAAACACCTGGTCTGGTCTCATCTGACCACCTTTTTCCACATTGCCATGTTGCAAATAAGAGGACATAAACTAAACACAAGGAGGCATAATTTGTTTTTATGCTTCCCTGCAGACCAAATGACTGAAAATATTTTATTCTATTTTATGAACCTCTGTAGTCAGGGAACACTTATTCTGTATTTTTAAATCAGTTTTGAGGAGTTATAGCTGTTTTTATTTCTTTTTATATTTGTATTTTTCCTTCTAGAATGCTTACTGTTTTGTTTAAGGTAGACAATTTTAAGATCTGTCCAGGGACAACAGATGAAAAATAGCCTTTTGGCAAATTCTAGTGCATTTGCAGGAATGCTTTTTAATGTACACTGTACCTGTCAAATAAAAAAAATAAATTAAATTAAAATGCATGGTCAACATGTATTTTATTTGTTTATGTTTTCGTGCCCTCACACGTAAGTTGTTTGGCTTTTTAATTCTTTGTGCATTTAAATATTACTCCAACTCATTCCAAATTCTAAGAATAAAAAAAAATGCTAAAACACAATTTTCTGCCACTTTAAAATGATCTGCTACTTTACTTTGGTCAAATTTGAAAACAAGTTCAAGGGATTTGAAGACTTTCATACAAGCCTACAGGAAGCAAAAAGCATCAGTGGCAGTGGATGCGCAGGGTATGATAACAGCTGATGGAACATTTGTCACCAATGCACCCCAGTGCACTACATATGAAGCCATAGTGATAAGACCTTTGATAAGATATAGGAGATAATGAACAATTTCCTTAGAGTTCATGTTACCAGAGATATGATAGAGTGCTTGACAGTGACTGAAATTTGAGAACAACTACATTATAAAATAACACTGATTCTTCCCAAGGTAGAGAAAGGTGCTTGTTTATAACTCAGAAAAAACAATATGATGTGATTTGGATCTCGGAGCTCACCCTGAGGATCTCTCTGCAGATGTAAGCATTCCAGTCCTCTTTCAGCGAGTTTCCTTTGGTGTTCTTGATCAAGTCTGTCACCGAGCCAGCGCCACAGAACTCCATAACCAACTACAGGTAAACACACAAAGCAATGTTTTTTTTTTTCACATGTTTGCTCCACAGAAGAAGATAAAACAAACAATGTTTTTTCTAGAATTGTCCCAGATCACATCTGTACAGAATCTTTAGGGGAGGCCAAAACCAAGGAACATAAAATCACTTCTATTCACATATTTTAGCAGAAATGTAATGAAAACAATTTTCTTTTATTAACTTGAAACAATACTAGTTGCAAAATGACGACATTATAAAAAAGACTTGAATATTTTCTAAAACTTTACAGAGATCATTCGAGAAAAAGCCCTATTGAAAAGCAATGATTTACTTTACAAGTATAAGAAATTTGCTTTTGGTGATAATATGCTACACAATGACTAACATTGAATTGACATCAATTTGGAAATATATCATGTTGAATAAAAGATGCAAGTTGTCGATAAGACATTTTAAGCTTGATAAATAACCTGACTAACAGCGCTGTGGTTGGACCTGTCATGTTTTATATGTTCACACAGGTCTTTTGTGGTTTTCTCTAACAGAGCAGACACGTGCTAGGTGGTTTTATGTTTGTCAAAGTGTGCAAGAAAGCTTGGCTCTTCAGGCTGTCACAGTTCCAGCTGCATCCCTTTACATAACTATGACACTACAGTATTACTTGATGATGTGTCCATAGCTGGTGGATGAATAAAATGAACAGGTGGTCATAATTCCCTAAGTGCCGTTCTATAAAGATCTTTTATTATCCTTATTTGGCCATTCTGTACTTTTGCTAATGGTTTCATTCAACACAGCTCACATGCTGTGTGTCTGATTGAAAAAAAAAAAACACTTCTGAACATCTTGCTTCTCTGCAAACTCCATGAGGCTAAAATAAACTACATGCATAAACTCAGTGAAATTATAAACTCAGATATAGTAATGCAGCGTTACTAATCCTAACGTAAACATCAAAAGCCTGTTTTGTTTTGGAGGTTTGAGTAATCAAGGAATAAAAAAAAGACTGATTTTTCAAAAGTTCTACTTTTTATATCATCGTTAATTTCTTTAAATTAGTTGTCGAGGGAAAGAGTGACTGCAACGACCTACAGCTCCACTGAGGAAAGAATAATTTATCTCTGCCTGTCCCCTACCTGTTGCTGTGCAGTGAGGGTTAGATGCTTAATGTTGGGAAAGATTTCAACTTGCAAAATAAAAACCCAGAGCTGTGTAGAAACTAACAAAAGGAGAATTGATCAAGTTAAATAAATTTTACTAACTTAAGCTTTAAAAAAAAAAAATACAGTTGGCAAGTTACAAACATCTGACCACAAGCTAGCCACCCAGGTAGATAGGCTGACTACAGTAATATACAGTACAAGAGTAACTATATTAAATGACATTTAGTAAATAAAACTGTTTAATTCATGAAACATTGCTATTGTAAATTTTAAACTAAAAATATAAAAAAGGAGCTAAAGCAATTTTATAGGGGTATTATGTCACTCTATCCTAAGAAGGACTCAAACATGTACCCCTTTCACTTTCTGTGATTTCATCTCTGCACTGCATCCATGGAGACTGGTGAACCAGAGTTCAGCCTGTGAGTTCTGGCTCTGCTTTAAGACCCCCTCTTATCAGCTCTCTCTTTAGAGGAGGAGAAGCAGTTGGTGTGAGGATGCAAACCTGCTCTTGCCCAGTCAATGGGCTTTTACCAAGACACAAAAGCAACACACTCACTCAGGTATAAACAGATCACACCTACATGTAGAACCAACACTTAGACACAGTTGTGAATGCTATAATTGAAAAATGGAAGATGTTAGTACAGGTAGAGAAATATACAGGGAGGAGATTTGCCTCCTTTAATATGAACTTATTTGTCTGTTTTTGCATTTGGGCTAACACTGTAGTGTGAAAATACATTCGGACCATATTAAGAAAAGCTACTTAATAGATCGTGTTTATAGCTGTAATTAATTCATACTCTGCGCAGAAATCTCATAGAGGAAACTACCTTGCATGAGTTATCTTTTCACATAATAAATAAAGATAAATAAGGACATAAGTGAGGCAGTGGGAAGCGCTGCTGTCTTGCAGCATGAAGGTTCTGGGTTCGATTCCTGGCCCAGGGTCTTTTTGCATGGAGTTTGCATGTTCTCCCTTTGCACACCTGGGTTTTTCTCCAGGTACTCTGGCTTCCTCCCACAGCCCAAAAACATGACTGTTAGGATAATTGGCTTCTCTAAATTCTCTTTTGTGTGTGCGTGAATAGTTGTTTGTCCTGTCTTTCCGCTGTGTTGCCCTGTGATAGACTGGCGACCCGTCAAGGGTATACCCCACCTAAGCCCAGTGTTAGCCGGAGGTAGGGCCCAGCAGCTCTTAAAACAAGAGCAGGGATAAGCATGACAGGAAATGGAAGGAAGGAAGGAATAGAAACATACTGTAGAAACATTCAAAGACTGACTTGTATTTGTTGGGGTGAGTGATGAAAGCTTGTGTATTCTCCTAAGACAATCAGAACCTTTAACTTGTACAAAATTTATTTCAGTGGAAATGGAGGGGGTCCATTAGCTTTTTTTTTTCTGATTTTAAAAATCACAGCTATCTTGCGAGGTCAGCCAGGCCAACAATGGCTCTTAACAACTGCCTCTTCAGAGAAATGGTTCAGTATTGGGTATTGAAGGCCAATAACTACAGTACCTCAACAGCTCCCATTATTAAGGGGTGGAGCTGGTTTTCCAATTTCAATATACATGTTTTCTGAGCCATTACAAGGCTTTTGTTGGGCTACTCTATAGAAGCTTCTAACTTAATGCTAATCCAGACATTTTGAATTGAGAAAGCTTCCTGGATGGGAATGGAAACATTTTCAAACTTGGAAACCAAAGTCCAGCGGTTTGTATTTTAACTTTAACTTTTGAATGACTATGACCTGGATGACTAAGAATCTCCACCATCATGGATTATGAGTAACTGGCTTAATGAGAAACAGTAGCCTCAATGGCAAATGTTTTAATTGCACTAAATGCTTCACATTCAATAGCAATTTTTAAGCAAGGCTTTAACCAGAGCTTAGCTGTCATAGTTCTGTCTGTATCATAAATGGGACCTTATCTTCTGTTTACGGCAAATGTAAAACTCTTACAGGTAATAATGTAACTGTGCAATGATTAATGTTCATGACCTTTTAACACTTCTATAGAAGTAGCTTTTCAAAGAAGTTGCATAAAATATCATGGGTTTTTAAATAAAGCTAAAGGAATAACTTTAAACCAATCTAATGGTTGAAATAATAAATTAAATACAAAATCTATATGTGCTGCTGTGTTTATATGGTTATTTATTCAATAATTGAGGAGCGAAAATGTTGTTTGAATTGCAGTTGGTTTATTTGGTCGATATGGCTTTCAAATAAAATGCGATTAACTACACACCCTGTAATGTACTTGATAAAAAATTAAATCATGTCTCAAAACTATAAAAAAAAAAATTTGTCTGTATGCTTTGTCTTCCTGAAATCCAATTATTGATGATTATTGTCTACATGGGAAAAAGGAATATACAACATACACTTTTGGTTTTGTAAAAAACTGCTTGTATGTGGGATTTTTTTAAACACAGTGTATGGCACGTGATTGAAGCGATTTCTCTGCTATTTTCAGTTTAAGAAAATATATAAAATAACCTTATTCTAATAATTTTAAGCCAGCTTGACCAGAAATACAAAGACATTTAGAAAAATAGTGATTATAAATACATCATTCAATTCAATTTCAATTCAGTTTATTTATATAGCCCCAATTCACAACACATGTCATCTCAAGGCACTTTACAGTTCAACCAGATCATACAGTCAAATCATCACATCAAAAATGAAGTCCTACCCAAAGCTGGTCATCGATGCCAGGAGGTTGTTTCTTGATGAACACTCCAAAGTAAGTGGCAATGTTCCTGTGGTTGCTGTACTTCTTCAGCATGTTGATTTCAGATTTTATCTCTTCCTCCTCATCCTGCAATAAGAAAAATACAACCAGGCTTTACATTTTTACCTTATTTTCTGTCCCCATACACACATTATAGGAGGTTGATAAAGCAAATGAAACAAGCTGGTCTTAAATTAGCCTTCCACATCTATTGGAGATCAAAGGAAAATAAATAATAAAAAAAAAATAAAACTGAATGTTGCAAAGTGCACAGCTGGGTTCTCAATTATCCACTCTAACAACATTACTCTTTAATTACTTACACTTCCAGGGGGGATTCTGTCACAGTGCCAGGAGCTGTGACTTGAAACAAGTCCTGATGGTGGCTGAGTAGTTAAAATATTTATAGCATCTTTTTAAGTTTATAAAATGTATTTTTTTTTTTATGTGTGTGTGTTGTCTTTTGTCTAGATTTATAACAAATGCTTGTGTTTTTTTTAATTAAAAGAATGCATTCATCATATGTTGATCTAAGTTTCTGTTGGCATCATTAATAAGATGTCACAATAGTTTCTTCCTGCACCTTTCATTATTTTGCCAGCAGCTGAGTGCTGACAGGGATGTGTGGGGTGTGAGGATGTCTAAAAATAGCAGAGGTTTCCTCCTGCTGTATAGACCCGCCTGAAACCAGAGTCTCCTCCTAATCATTTCAACTGATGTTACCATGGCAATGGGCCTGTCCTCGTTTAGTCTCCTCCACATCACACACACGCATCAGCCGTGACTCATCGCTCTTAATTAGATGACATGGCTGACTTTAATATAAAACTTTCAGATGGATTTACTAAGCATGGATATGTAGGAGTGTGTATGTGTGGGTACACGTGTGTGTGTGTGTATCTTACCGTAGCAACATCCATGACCTTGATGGCTGCCAACTGCCCCGTCCTAATATGGCGACCCTGGAAGAAATAATTGAATAAGGTGAAGAATTTAAATGTAAGAAAGCGGATGGGCAGATAAAGCATAAAAGAGGATAAACAGTTTGGTTTGAATGATTCCAAATTTAAAATAAACAAAGAAATGTTGCATATCTTCACTTTAGGATAAACAATATTGAAAATGTATTTCAAAAAGCTCAATTGTCATTGTAGTCTAAGTTTTTTTTATTTTTTATTTTTTTTTTATGGGTTTCTGTAAATATAAAGATATACGGCTTTTAGCAGCTTTGGTTTTTTTTTTACCTGGTCTTATTTTCAATTTTAAAATAAGTAGTTCAGAACAGAACAGAATAAAATAACATTTATAACATAATAAAGCATGATATACTACATTGTTTTTAAATTACAACTGATTAATCATGAGAGGAATGTCTGTTGCAGCTGACTGAAGGATCCAAACCAGCTAATATCAGTATATTGTACTTCTCCTATTTTATAATTAGCAGAATGTTTTTTTTTTTTTTTTTTTTAAGTATAATGTTCTGTGTATTAGGTACTAGAAAATTACTATAACAAAACCGTGATAAATGTGATATTAACATTGTTTGGATATTGAAAGAAAGACTAAAGATTACTCTTAAAAACGAATTCAGTACTAATTCAGTACTAGTATCAGAGGTCTTTCTTGCAACAATTAGACAGGAAAAATAGGCAAAGATAAAGTGGGATGACATGCATAAAGATCCCAAAGTTGGGTATTGAGCCGACGAGAGCCGCTTTATCCCTACAGCATGGAATGCACCATTAATTAATTAAATTTCAACTTATACTTGGATAGAATATTATGCATTTTTGAAGTCTGGCTATGTGCACCATCAGTCAAGCTTCAGTTAGGCCACAGATAGCTAACCAAGTTCATTTAAAAAAAGCTTCAGCCTAATAGGAGCAATGGGAGGCACTTCTTTTGTTGTAAAACTGTGGCTTCAGCTGTTTCCCAGGCGGAAAATTTGTGAAAATATTCCAATCAAATTTTCCCTAAAACAAAGTAATTTTATAGTAAAAAATTTTTTAGGCCAGCTGTCCTGCAGTGTGCAGTAGCGTGGGTAAGAGGCAAATCGTGCAGTTAAGAAAATCTGTTCCCACTTAGGTACTTTTAACAAGCTTCTTAAAGGACTTTACTGTAGGAATGGTCTGTTGGAAAATGTTATAGCTTTAAGAACCATGTCTTTTTAAAACCTTGCTATGCATTGTTAATGTTTTTCCCTCAACCTTTTTATAAATAGTTGCATACTGAGGGCCACAATAGAATTAACTAGCTTGTACTTTGGTCAATACAAAAATACTAATGTAAAATAAAAAAGAAAATGAAAGTATAAGGGACCTAAATTCACTTTTGTCCAATAAGTTAAAGCTCCTGTTCAATAGCTCAAATCTGAAACCTGCTGGTTTACCTCCAAAAGAAAGTTTGGGTTTTATTAATATGGTCATTTTTCACCTCACATTGCAAACTAAGCACCACCGGTTGGTTGAACACTCTGATTAGCCGCTCTCACACAAAGACAGAGACGCACACCAAAGTCTCATAAAAACTACAGCTCGGATTCTGTGCAAATGAAAGAGCTGGAAGATTGACCTGGGATTTCTCATTAGGATCAGACTGACCCAATTCCATGGGCACAAGGACCAGCTTTGTTAAAAACCAACAAAAGAATTAGAGCCACTTACAAATCAGAAGCTCAAACACAGACAGACACACAGAAAAGAGATTTCCAATCATTCTGTTACTCTCACAGCCAGAAAAACTTAAAAGATCCAACATGCACACACAAAGAAAGCAGGAGACATAGGGGACAGAATGACTGATTATGTCAGAGTCCGACCAAGTGGGAGAGAGAAAAAGTGAATGTGTCAAACAGATGTGAGACACGGATATTATCTGACCAGGGTAAAAATTCATTTGTCTGAACCAGCTGACAACCGTCCTCCCTTCATATCTCTTCATCTCTCCTCCAGGAGCAGTAATGTCATCCAGGCTTATTAAATGACCATTTTGAAAAGAAGGATCAGAAAGAAATTAGCACATCGTTATCTTCATTGCTGTCTTTCCCTTCTCCGTTTTAATATATTCAAATTCATAAATGAGGCTGGGGTGGCCTAAAATAGCATTTGGAAACCAGTTAATTTATCAGGATGATCTAGCAGAGTTACTAATATTCATGTCCATTGCACTTTTCAACATTTAGTCCGGATAAAACCTGAAAAACACATCAAGGTGCTGTATTTCTTGGGGATATTATGGGGTAGACAAAAAACTAAATGGTTAATAATTGTAAAGTGAATCAAAAATAAACAATATTTTAAACCGTTTTACAAAAAAGATAATCCTAAAAGTATGCCATGCATCTACATTTACCCATAAAAAAGGTTTAGTGCAACCAAGTGTCTTAAGAAGTTATTCATCTGAACATAGTCGACCAGTGTGTAATTCCATGTCAAATACAAAATTTAAATACAACCAGAGCCACGTTTAAATAGCTTAGTTTGTGACAGATTTGACCAAAAATCAATATTGTGATTATTTTCAACCAATGCGAATAAGGTTATGTTTTGATTTTCTTTTGCAATAACCTCAAGAATGTAGATGTTTCCCCTGACCAAAAACAGTTGAGCTTGTATTTGTACAAAAATAAATATTGAGGTTATTCCTTTTTGATTTTGTCTACACCCTTTAATAACCGCAGTGCACTGGCATTATGGAAGTAAATCTGTGTCACTGGGATTTCAATTAAAAATGGCACTGAAATTTAAATGTTGTATGTTTGTACTTACTGTTTCAGTGTTAAAATATATTCAGAACACATTTTTGACCTAAAAAGAAATTCATTGTCATTATTTCTACACAGTTGAAATTTCATTTATTTTCTCTTCAGGCTAAAAATTCACATTACTATTTCAAAGTGATTAAATTTTCAATACTTATTTTTCAGTTTAATTTATTAGTTATAAAAATCTCATGCAAGCTAACGCTAACTCAACGGTGAGTTTATTACGTTCATTTTTCTGTAGTTGAATTAGCGTTAGCTTGCATGACAGGCTCCTTCATGCTGGTTTTCCTTTAGTATGAGCGCCGCAAGCGTCACGTCACGTGACTAAGAAAACGTAACGGGATTAGCTGGGTGTTGGACACCACAATCCATTGCTAATGTCTGTGACCTGAAGTAACCCTTCCCTTTTTACACTGAATTTAGACGCCGAATTTAAGACAGTGAAATAGAGACAGTTGAATCTCAGGAGGCTGAAAATATTGAGTTTGAATTTTGAAAGGTTGANTACTTCTTCAGCATGTTGATTTCAGATTTTATCTCTTCCTCCTCATCCTGCAATAAGAAAAATACAACCAGGTTTTACATTTTTACCTTATTTTCTGTCCCCATACACACATTATAGGAGGTTGATAAAGCAAATGAAACAAGCTGGTCTTAAATTAGCCTTCCACATCTATTGGAGATCAAAGGAAAATAAATAATAAAAAAAAAATAAAACTGAATGTTGCAAAGTGCACAGCTGGGTTCTCAATTATCCACTCTAACAACATTACTCTTTAATTACTTACACTTCCAGGGGGGATTCTGTCACAGTGCCAGGAGCTGTTGCTTGAAACAAGTTGTGATGGTGGCTAATTAGTTAAAATATTTATAGCATCTTTTTAAGTTTATAAAATGTATTTTTTTTTTTATGTGTGTGTGTTGTCTTTTGTCTAGATTTATAACAAATGCTTGTGTTTTTTTTAATTAAAAGAATGCATTCATCATATGTTGATCTAAGTTTCTGTTGGCATCATTAATAAGATGTCACAATAGTTTCTTCCTGCACCTTTCATTATTTTGCCAGCAGCTGAGTGCTGACAGGGATGTGTGGGGTGTGAGGATGTCTAAAAATAGCAGAGGTTTCCTCCTGCTGTATAGACCCGCCTGAAACCAGAGTCTCCTCCTAATCATTTCAACTGATGTTACCATGGCAATGGGCCTGTCCTCGTTTAGTCTCCTCCACATCACACACACGCATCAGCCGTGACTCATCGCTCTTAATTAGATGACATGGCTGACTTTAATATAAAACTTTCAGATGGATTTACTAAGCATGGATATGTAGGAGTGTGTATGTGTGGGTACACGTGTGTGTGTGTGTATCTTACCGTAGCAACATCCATGACCTTGATGGCTGCCAACTGCCCCGTCCTAATATGGCGACCCTGGAAGAAATAATTAAATAAGGTAAAGAATTTAAATGTAGGAAAGCGGATGGGCAGATAAAGCATAAAACAGGATAAACAGTTCGGTTTGAATGATTCCCGATTTAAAATAAACAAAGAAATGTTGCACTTTAGGATAAACATTGAAAATGTATTTCAAAAAGCTCAATTGTCATTGTAGTCTTAGTTTTTTTTTTTTTTAACCTGGTCTTATTTTAAATTTTAAAATAAGTAGTTCAGAACAGAACAGAATAAAATAACATTTATAACATAATAAAGCATGATATACTACATTGTTTTTAAATTACAACTGATTAATCATGAGAGGAATGTCTGTTGCAGCTGACTGAAGGATCCAAACCAGCTAATATCAGTATATTGTACTTCTCCTATTTTATAATTAGCAGAATGTTTTTTTTTTTTTTTTTTTTAAGTATAATGTTCTGTGTATTAGGTACTAGAAAATTACTATAACAAAACCGTGATAAATGTGATATTAACATTGTTTGGATATTGAAAGAAAGACTAAAGATTACTCTTAAAAACGAATTCAGTACTAATTCAGTACTAGTATCAGAGGTCTTTCTTGCAACAATTAGACAGGAAAAATAGGCAAAGATAAAGTGGGATGACATGCATAAAGATCCCAAAGTTGGGTATTGAGCCGGCGAGAGCCGCTTTATCCCTACAGCATGGAATGCACCATTAATTAATTAAATTTCAACTTATACTTGGATAGAATATTATGCATTTTTGAAGTCTGGCTATGTG